GGTGGGTGGTCGGCGGGGGGGGGGTGGTGGGGTGGGGGCGCGTGCGCGGCCGGGGGGGCGAGGGAAGGAATAGCCCTTTTCTGAGTGACATGACCTCTCTGTTCAAAGGCCAAGCAAGAAATAAACGCTCCTAATCTGAATGGGGCGAATTTTTTTGCAGGTTTCAAACCCTTTCTTTTGAAATGGGATAAATTTAGAGTCAAGGAGCAATCTTTCTTACTCAACATCGGGGCATTTAAAGAGGTTCTAAGAACGTACTTGCAAAGGACGTTGTCTGTTTTGCATTTTTATGAAAATTAATTCTGTGTACGTTGACAAAATCATTAAAATTATGTTAGCAGACATCACGTGGGGTGTTCTAGGATCAGACTGGACACAGGGTGGACAGAGACAGCAGGGGCATGCACGCTTTAAGACAGGGGGTCTTTATTAAGTTGGAGCATTTAGAGAAAGAAAAACGAATATCTTACAAAGCTCTCACTATACTACTGACAACAAAACCTGTCAGATCTTCGCTCTCTGTTACTAGAAAGGAGACAGTGTCCTCATGTGAACACCTTTCAAGGCATTATTTAGAAGCGTCTTTGTGAATACTCACTTTCTGAAAGGGAATCTTAAGTACAAAGGCGAGCTACGAAAATTCGCTCAAACTAAAGTTTATAAGAAAGTTTTATTCTCAGTTTAACCAGCCTTTGTGTTATCTCGGTTATTTAACTCCAGATCGCCACTTCCGAGTAGTCTTCCCATGTTTGGTAACGATTCCAATGCTGCACATATTTCAAATATTCTCCCTGTGGAGACCGAGGCAAAAAAAAAAGAAAAAAAAACATCCTGACGTTTCGCTGGTTATTCTTTCCTATTCATTCAGACAGTTGAGCTCGGTTTACTAATTGTTGCTCTGCGGATTATACATTAATGTCCCTTCGAACTTTGCACGTGATTGCTGTGTGAAAATTTAACTCACGCTTTCCATAACATTATAAAGACAGAACAAGGAAGGACAAAGGACAGTTTAATAAGCTATCACTGGACAGAAGGACTGTGGTGGCTTTAATAAGAAACAAGAGGAGGAGGGGGAGAAAACATTCAGGTGAAGATCAGTTTTTTTTATGAACCACATCAAAGTAAGTTTGAAATCCCCTGCGTTCAACTCCACATAGATTTCGCAAGTGGGTATGTTTGATACATAGATGAGTGTTAAGGTAAGGCGTGCTGTCAGAATACACTCTTGCTAAAGTGCAATAAGACACTGCAAAACTGGTCAACAGAGGCTAGCGTGCACCTTCAATTTAAACTGCAATTTTTTATTCATCTCCTGTAGAATATTTAATTTGCAGACTGCCTAATATGGAATTGCAAATATTACAGCGCCGGCAGCACCAAGTTAACACCTTTTACTAAAAGGAACATTTCGACGGACGTTAAAGCAGTGTTGTTTGCAATTGAGCTCGCCTGTGTTGCCTTAACTTCTTTCTGTAGCACTCTACATTCATTTACCAACAATACTGAAACACTAATAAAACTGAAGGAGAAATCAAACAATTTCTGTGAAATAACTAATGACAGCTGTACTGCCACGTACTTATTCAAAGAATACTTTATAACATTCTGCAGGAATAAAGTTTAATGCCGCTGGCACGACAGCTCCTAACGTTTAATGCTAATAACTGATGTTGCTCCACAATCTGCATTCACTATCTTATAAAATATTCGTGTATAGTTATAGCGATATTGTCTATTGGATATTGGTCTGCTTCGAAATCTATGTGTATTTTGTGCATAAGATGTGACTTTGTTACAGTTAAGTTTGGATTTTTTAAAAATGACGCTTTAGATGAAGATTATTGTCATTGTCGCTATAAAATTGCCACAATTTTCTCAGTATTCTACTCAGCATAATGTTGAATCACATTCTCTCTGTGCTGTGACTTTGATGTGAGAAGAATGTAAGTAGATAGTTTAAAAGTGTTTGCTTCTATTGGATTCACACATGGGGTTTATCACGGGTGTTTGGTCACAATAATGTTACAATATGAACGTAACCTTCCCTTAAATACCTGGAAGAAGCAAACAAAGATAATTGCCGTGGAACTGCGATAATCAGTGTTAAAATGAAGCTTTACGTGGACAGTATTTCTGAATTTTCAGCTCTTTTCGTTCCTTTGTTCGGTCGCCTTTTGCACATCTGCGAAATAAAAATGCAAGATATGCATTCTTGACGGAGTTTGACGACCATTTAAGTAAATTTAAGTAGTTCGCTGGACATTATAGCGTCACATTTTTCACTGTGTAATT